ATACCTGGTACAACTGGGGGTGCTGTTATTCAACCTGGAGGGGTACCTTCACATACTACAACACAAGGTGGCACAACATATCCCAGTGGCATACCTAGTACAACTGGGGGTGGTGTTGTTCAACCTGGTGGGGTACCTTCACATACTACAACACAAGGTGGCACACCATATCCTAGTGGCGTACCTGGTACAACTGGGGGTGGTGTTACTTATTCTGGTGGTGTACCTTTACATACTACAACACAAAGTGGCACAACATATCCTAGTGGCATACCTGGTACAACAACTGGAGGTGCTGTTATTCAAGCTGGTGGAGTACCTGGTGGTGTTATAACACAAGGTGTTGAAATGTATCCTGGTGGTATACCTATTACTACAACAACTGGGGGTAGTGTTGTTTATCCTAGTACTATACCTGGCACTACAACACCTGGAGGTGGTATAGTTTATCCTGGTGGTGTATCTGGTACTATAACAACACAAGGTGGGATAAGATTTTCTGGTGGCATACCAAGCACTAAAACAACACAAGGAGGTACTGTTTATCCTGGTGGTGTACCTGGTACTTCAAGAACTGGAGGTGGTGTTCTTTATCCTAGTGGAATACCTGGTACTACAACTAGTGGAGGTGGTGTTCTTTATCCTAGTGGAATACCTGGTACTACAACAAGTGGAGGTGGTGGTCCTTATCCTAGTGGAATACCTGGTAGTACAACAAGTGGAGGTGGTATTCTTTATCCCAGTGGAATTCCTGGTACTACAACTGGTGGTGGAGTAGTTTACTCTAATGGTGTACCTGGTACTAAATTAACACAAAGTGATGTAACATATCCTAGTAGCGTACCTAGTACAACTACAACTGGAGGTGGTGTTCTTTATCCTGGTGGAATACCTGGTACTACAACAACTGGAGGTGCTGTAATTTATCCTAGTGGTGTATCTAATACTCCAATAACTCAGGGTGGTTCACCTGGTATTATTACAACTGGAGATGGCATTCTTTATCCTAGCGGAATACCTGGTACTGCAACAACTGGAGGTAGCGTTCCTTATCCTAGTGGAATACCTGGTACTACAACCAGAGGTGGTATAACTTATCCAACTAATATATACCCTGGACAAGGATCCACTGTACTACAACCTAGTGGAGATGTTCCACTAGCAAATCAATTAAGGAAAACTGTGCATTATCCTGAAGGTGTGATCCCATCTGGTATGACACCAACAAGAGTTAGTACTTATCCAGAAAATACTCTTACAGAAACTCCAGGAAGTTTGACTCAGCAATTAAGTTACCCCGGAGGTATTGAACCTGGTAATACAGGTATCATCAAAACTGGTCCTGATTTTAGTACAGTGACAACTTATCCTCAAAGTTCTCAATTTAAACCTGGAGAAGGAGTATATCAACCTGGTATTCAAGTTGGGCCTGATGGTAAAGTAATTTCTTATCCTGGAATATCTGGAACAATTCCTTTTCAATATCCAATACAACAAGCACAATATCCAAGTAGTATTACCTGGCCTAATAAACCAGGTGAATATTTAAATCAAGGACAAAATATTGGACAACAATATGCAACTGGAACTGGACCTACTAATACTGGGGAAGTTTCTCAATATTATCAACAAGCTGGTAATATTCCATCCATAAAAGATGACAACTCTAATTCTCAAGCATCAAGTTCTGTAAAACAAACAGAGTCAGGAACTCAAGCAAGTGCATCATCTCAAGGAACATACGGACAAGGTACAGCACAGTCTCAAGTAACAGGTACATACAGTGGTTCTGGTTCATTCTCTGCTCAAGCTGGTAGCAGCGACGTTAATAAAGGTGCACAATCTGAAATTAGTGGCAGTAAAGAAGGTGCAATGAGTAATGCTCAAGGAACAGGTGGTTATGGAAAAAGTCAAGCGCAAGTTCAATTGAATTCTGAATCTGGTGCTACAGCAACAGATGCACAAAGCAGTGGATGGAATCATGGCACTAACTCTCAGGTACAGGCAAGCTCTAGAGGTGGAATGGCAGATGCCCAAGCAAATGGAGAAGGAAGTACTTCTAGCCAAGCACAAATTGGTTTCCAACCATATCTTAAGACAGATGAAAAACTTGAAAAACATGTAAGACCTTTTCATGGTGGTGGCACAGCATCTGCTCAAAGTAGTATGCATAGAGGTCAATCTCAATCTCAATTACAAGGGTCTTTCCAATATGGAATTACTTACAGTGGTGCTGCACAAGCAGGATCTGGATCTGGCGCAGCAGCTTCTAGAAAACCGTTTAAATTTAACTTCACAGACACCGAATTATTCAAACCTATTAAACCATACAATACTCCACAAATTACAAAAAACAATGAAAGTTCAGTAACAAATACATCCTTAGATATTGATTATGTTTACAATCAAAATAAAGCTCAAGGTTTACAGCCAAGTTCAAGTTCCAGGAAGACGGTTATCGCTACTGCAACAAGAGAAATTTCTCAAAATGGAACTAATAAACAAAATCAGTCTGGTGAAAAGTCTCAAGTAGATGACACTATGTATGATTATGATGATAAATACGATGCAGAAGATTATGATGATGATAATTATGACACTTCGCAGATACAATCTGCAACAAATGCAAAGTATTCTAAAAATTATATTACAGAGCAAAATAATAGTGATTATCAATCACAAATGATACAAGTCACAACTGGAAATCAATATGACGTTCATGTACATCAAGACTCAACCATGGCACAACCTGGAGATATGCTTCAACCAGGACAATCATTGTCTGGATATACAATACCACCCAGATTTCGTGGAAGAGTAAAATCTGTAGCGGGTGAGAAAACTGTTGCCCAGGGTGATGGAAAATCTCAATCTCAAACAGTTTCTGTAACTCCAATAGAAACTGGCATTGCTCATGAGAATAAATCGCCAATTTCTGAAACCAGATCACTTAAAACCAACCATGAAAGATTAGCTGAAGATCATGCTTTATCCAAAGCAAAACATCAAAAATATAACTCTTTTCAATTTCAAACTCAACGACCGTCTGCAGATGATTCGAAACCTGTGAACGTGCCTATAAAACCAAGTTATTATACAATAACAAACAGTTTTGCTGGAAAAATGGATAGTAGTAAAAATGCACCAAAAAAGTATGAACATCGCTATTACACTAAAAGTTCTACTTGTGGATATTTTACATTTTCTTGTAATATTGTATATGGTTCGGACGGTAGGACAAAAATTTGTAAACCAAAAATACCAACACATCCTGATGGCACTCCAGTGAAATGTTAATCGGACACTATTAATTCTATATTACATTTTTTTCACTTTATTTCATACAGTACTCCACAGTATATTAATACTAAAGATATTTTTTATTACAATTTAAACTATTATATTCTTTATCTTCTGCATTAATTACAAACACAAATATTTATGATCGTTCATACATTTTATGAATGTACATCATATTTCTATTGTCTCTCACGCACATACATACTATGTATAATTTTTATTGAGGTAATCGCACTGAATGTGCATCATTATCGATTTATTAGCAATACATCAGTTACTAATATTTATCCAACTTGATCAATAAAACACATATTAAACAAATAAAGATTTCTCTCCTCTATTTTCCATCAATTGTAAATTACATCAAGCGATAAATATATATATATAGAATATTTTCTTCAAATTTGGAGACACATAAAAATTTAAATAATTCTCTAAATAAAATTATAAAATATTTAAATTATATTAATTACTAGATAACATATATAGATACTCGCACAAGTGTTTTGCTTATTTTACATATATTTGTGACAATGTATAAACTGTTAACATAAATATCAGGTATCATAGAAGGTAGGAAGTTGTCACTCATTTTTCGACTTTACTGATCTTTAGGTAAGAGACAAAATTTATAATTACATAGATACCTTAATTATATACAATATTTATATACGTACAATAAAAATAAGTGAAAAATAACACATTGGAATGTGAGCTTTTTACAAATGTAGATATTCAGAAAAAACTTACAAAATAAAAAAGTACAAAATATAAATATACATATTAAAAAAAAGAAAGACAAATAAGTGATATAAATCTAGAATGTATCCTAATGATTTAAAACATTAATACAATACTGAAATAGGCAGTGATTATTCATTACTTATGCTCACTTGTCAAATAAATTAATTGCTTGCCTGCACCGTTAATATTTGTTTATACAATTAAAAAGTACCGTTACGTTGACTGCTGTGTTTTAGAGATTTAGAAAAAAGTACTTTACAAACTTCAGATTTGTTACTCAGATAAAATATAATGCTATTATTGAAATTAGTGAATACTAGGCTTTTGGAGATCCATATCCTGAAACAACATTTGTAAAATGTTATTCTAATTTTCAAATCATTTTACATATTAAAATGTTAAGACTTACCATCCACTAATTTGCCGTCATTAGTTGCACATAATTTCTCTTCAACATTTTCTTCTAGTTCTACCATGTAGGAATCAGTACTAATAACAAATTAATTTTTAATAAACATTCTACAATGTATTTAGAAAATATACTTGTATATAATAATACGATATATTTTATAAGTATTTTTGTTATTCACCTATTGCGAAAATGTTCTAATTGCACATTAGCAGATTCTAATTGTTCCGCAAGATCTTCATTTGCTTGTTTTAACTTACGAACGCTATTAGTTACAGAATCTACAGTATCTTGAGCCGCAGCTAATTCTTTCTTCAATTCTTCTACTCTTGCTCTAACTCTCTTCACTTCTGCCTCATATTGTTCTGACCTTCTCATTACATGTGAGAGCTCTGTTGTTTTTTCTTCCAAAGACTTTTTTAATATCTAACCAATTTTTACATTTAATTAATAAATATTAAAGTAGATACGTGGTAGAGTTATATTAAACTATTATATTAATTAAAAGTACAAACCGTATTTCTAACTAAAAGTTCTTGTTGCAATTGTCTCGTATCACTGTCGGATGTAGAAACTGGACGTGATCGTCGTGATTCTATCCTTTCTTGTAAATCGTGTAATTCATTGCGAAGTTGTTTATTTTCCCGTTCCAATGAAATTTTTTCTGTTTCTAACCGTTCTCGTTTTCCCCATTCTGCGGCATTTTCAGCTTGAAGCTTCTCTAGCTACATAATTAACATAAAGTAAAAATTCACCAATGCTCAAAGTATTTCCTCTAGGTTTTAATTACTAATACTTACCTCAGCTCTGAGCTCAGATAAACGACGATTCATGCTATCTCTACTTGATGCATCATCAATTAAATTACTTTGTGCCTCACCAAGTTCAGTATGAAACCGATCTTTCAACTCAAGTAGTTCTCTCATAGCTTTAGCTTTACTTTCTTCTAAATCATCACACTGTTTACGCAGTTGTATTATTTCTGCCCTTAATTTCTCCATACCGCGATGCAAAGAATTCTTTTCTCTAATAAGATATAAAAATGGTTAAAAAATAATATATTTAAATATATAATCAAAATCGTATAATTTCAAGATCTTACTCTCTTTCTGTAGAAATGGTCTTTGTTGCTTCATCTAATTTGTACTGAAGCATTAATATTTTTTGGGCAAAAGATTCATCATTTTGTGAAGAAGCTTGATGCTTTTCTACGTTACCTTCTATGGAACTAGAATCTGCAACTAATCTTGCAATATCTTTATCCAATGAATGTATGGAACCTTCTTTATATAATTCTACAGCATGCTTTGGTACTGCCCCTTGCAACACATATTCCTCGATATCTCTATCTGGTAGAATACTATGACTTCCTAGGCATATATTAGAATCTTCCAATGAAGTTTTACATGCAAGTAAATCCTTTTGAGAATTAACACTTTCACTACGTTCTACATTATTGTAAAACTTTAAAAGTTCCTCTATGCCTAGTGTACTCCTTAATTGTGGATCAGATTCTAAAACTGTAAAAATTTGTTGGTCAAATTGTCCTGCATGTTTTAACAGTATCATATGTATCTTTTCCATTTCTTTTTTCAATTGTTCATTTTGCAACTCAAGTTCCTGACACTCATGTTTATAACTGTTTGCATCTTTCACAGCAATTTCTAATTTAGCTCTGAGCATTTTTGCTTCTTCTCTTGCCATATTCCTTTCATTACGCACTTTACTCCATTTCTCACGCCAGTTAGCAGTACAATCGGACCACCACCTCATCGTTTTTTCCATTTGAGCTGCTCGTGCTCGTGCTTCTTCCAGTTCTCTTTGTCGTAAAGCCTAAAATATTAATCTTGTAAACAAATTAAAACATCTTACTATAATAACATTGTAATTCACATAAATTATTTAGTTAGTGTACATCAAAGCAAATATAAATTATCATTTCTTTAATAATGTGAGAAGAGAAAGAAAATACAAAAAAAGCGTTTACTTATATTCCTGTATGTATGAAATATGATGTATTCTTTATGTGCTAACAGAAGCAGATTTCAATAGTTAAATATCAGAAGCAAAGAATAATAAACAATCACCTCTTTGGTTTCCCATTCACTATCCACATACCGTGAAGAGGATGGTACACTGACATCATGTTCTCTCATGTATCGTCGAGAAGATGTTCCACTGGCTGTTGACTGTGCCATTGTCAATGAAAATGTAACCTGCAATGCTATTTTTCTAATGATAAAACTATATCAGTTACGTCTTATTTTTGTCTGCCTTGTAAATTCACTGTACGAAATTATAGTCAATTCGATTCCAATATTTTATTTATACATTTCTTTGTATCATACTTGAAGTAATTGCGGTTAAGACACAGTTTTCGTATAATTTTAATCTTCATACATCGTGTATATTCATCTGATGCTGTATTTCGTATTATCTATATGTACGCATACATACATATATATGTATATATAAAATATATATATACATATATATATATATATATGCAATACATATATCCACATAGAGACGTGCCTCTACACGTACAAGTTACTTTGTAAAGAGAGGAAGAAAACGTGTATACACGCCTTATCTCTATTCATAATTTGCTTTTTACTAAAGTGCCTATGAACTGAGCATGAAGTTAAATTTCTCAGAAATATATCTTACTGTACAAATTGATTGTTGATTTAAGATTTGTCTAAATTAAATATCGTTTGTGCATCGTATATAAATTTACTACTGTTAGATTCATTGTTACACTTGAATATGAAAGAATTTCGATAATTTTAGACATCATCAACTTGAATATAAGTGTGTATAGTGATACAAGTGATTGTAATAAAATAGTTTCCGCGTTTAATGAATATTGTTATTTAAAAATGAGAAATGTTTGGAGATACACTTAACGTTATGAAATAAATTACAATTTTTGTATAATCAACGTAGTATTACAGATACATATAATAAATACATAATTCATTCATGAGAAAAGTAGTGCATTAAAAAAGTTCAAAATGAACACTGTAAAAAATAATTGTGAAAGTGGAAATGGTTTAGAAGATCTTGGCATACCTGGACAAGTATTCTTAAGAGATGCATTAACAAGTTGTACAGATCCATTAAAAGCGATAGAAGAATTTCAACTAGAAAATGGCATTTTATTACCATCGTTGCGACCTATGTTACCTTTACTTGATCTTCATGGAGTAAGACGACTGGATTTCCATGCATCTGTCTTAGAAGAATTAAGAGAAAAACTTATAAAGAGGATTAATGAAATTGGAACAGAAAGGGCAGATAAAGGCTCATCGGGAGATAGAAGATTAAAAGAATTATTATCTAAAAGTTTTCCAGCAGTGAGAGTTTCTGCGCTGAGGCCTGTCGTTATGTGCATTTTAAGAAATACACCACACATAGAGGACAAATATTTACGAGTACTTGTTAGAGAAAAAGAATTGTACAATGATGCAGACACAGAAGTTAAACGACAAATTTGGAAAGACAACCAAAGTTTGTTTGGAGACGAAGTTTCTCCATTGTTTAGTAGATATATTATTGAGAAAGAACAAATTTTATTTGACCATAGAAATTTAAACAGTCTTTTTTTTACACCTTCTCCGAAGGTATATTATTCATTATTATTTAATATTAAAATTTCGACTATTATAAAGTTATATCATCTATGTATTTAGGTGAGAAGACAAGGAGAAGTTGTACAAAAACTAGCTCATATGATTGGACATAGTGTGAAGCTATATGACATGGTTTTACAATTTTTAAGGACATTATTTTTACGTACAAAAAACATACATTATTGTACATTGAGAGCTGAATTGTTAATGGCTTTACATGATTTAGAGGTCAGTGTATAGTATATTAAATTTTATTGCACCAGATAAATACAATATTGTCAAATAAATATTTAGGTCCAAGATATTATATCTGTTGATCCATGCCATAAATTCACATGGTGTCTGGATGCTTGTATCAGAGAAAAGAATGTTGATATTAAGAGGTCTCGTGAATTACAAGGATTTTTGGATAGCATTAAGGTATGAAAGGCTATTTTTATTTAACAGTACATTTTTTAAAACAAAAGTAAAATGGCATATGGTTTTATACAGAGAGGACAAGAACAAGTATTGGGTGACCTGAGTATGACATTATGCGATCCATATGCAGTAAACTTTCTTGCTAGTAGTGCTATCAAAATTGCACTTCATTTAATAAACGGTGAAGCATTACCTAGGGAGAATGCAGTTCTCGTTTTATTACTAAGAATGCTTGCACTGGGCTTATCTGCCTGGCAAATGATAGATTCACAAGACTTCAAAGAACCAAAGTTGGATAGTCAAGTTGTTACTAAGTTTTTACCAGCACTCATGTCTTTAATGGTAAAATAATATGTAGTTTAAAATATTTATTACAAAATTAATGAATAAATAATTCACTTCTCAGGTAGATGATCAAATAAGACAATTGAACTGTAAACTTCCACCCGATGAAAGAGAAAGTGCAATTGCTATAATAGAACATTCTGGTCCACCTCCTGATGCTTGTCAAGCATATGCACAACTTTCTGGGGTTGCTGCTGTTTTATCTATGTACTATGCATTACATGTAGGAGGAGGTGGTGGAGTTGGAAGAGGGAGGGGTGATGCCAGAGGATTAATGAGAGTTTTAGCTACTTTACCAAATTGTCAAGCACAACGTGCATTTGAAGATCCATTCTTACATACATTGGTAAAACAACGATATTTATATTCATAAATGTATTTAGTTTATTACAATTATATTATGTAAGATGACAAAAAATATATGATTTTATTTTTTATTTGATTGATTCTGTTTATTATAGGTGTCATTGTTAATATTAAACATGGCTGATGAATTTTCAAACGAATCATTCTGCACAGTTATATTCGATGAATTTTTCCTGGCAGGCCTTAGCAGAGATAATGTTACACGTCATTTATTAAAACTGCTTTGGTACATCCATCCAAAACTACCACCAACTCGGTTGCATACATTAATGAAAGCACTTCAACCAACCAGCCAGGTAAATACCAACCATATATTTTTTGAATAAAGATAAATATGAATACTGTATAATATGCTTCTGTTTCATTCATCATTTTAATTCTTTAAGCATAACGAAGCTGTACATAATCTATATGAAGCTTTACGGGAAAAAATTGGAAGCCGCTCTGTAGAAGATCAACTTGCAACAACCGCACAAATAGACACATTAGGTCTCGATTGCCCACCTTCCCCTCTTACTGGTGTTCCCACACCATCTCCACTCTAAGAACCGCAAAATTATAGATTTAATGCATAAAATATTGACAAACATGACCTAGTAATCTGATTTATAAGCACTTACAATTTTCATTTTGTACATGTTTTATCATAATTCAATTATAAATTTAAAAAGTAATACAAATTTTATATTTTCATACGAGTGTAAAAGATAATGTGAAGATACGTATTTTCTATTTTTATTTTCCTTCTACTACATATGAAGACAACCATATGTAATGTTTACAGAGTAATATCATTGTAATTTACAAAGTAATGAAAACCCCTAGTATAAACATGTATTAAGATCAAAATAATGTAAATAATTTAAAATACATTAATAGGTTTTAATATTGCTTGCACAGGCTATCTTTGCATCATTAATTAGTTCCATTACTAATCTATCTAAATAATTTGAATCCAATTTATATGACATTAATATCATTGAAATGTACATTGTCGCTTGTCTAGTTAACAGTAAGTTTTTTAATTGTGGATCAATCATGCTCAACCTGGAAAAATGTTAAAAATAAATAATATTTATTGTGGAATAATGTATTTATAATTAAAATACTCACATTTTAATGATGATCAAACCCACAAGAGTCCATTCAGCAGTTTTGAAAATAATATTTTTAGCTGACAACGAAAAAGTATTAACTAATACTTTAATTAAGACAGCCCTTTCATTACTGTAAGTATATTGTGATAATCCACTACCTGCTAATGCTCTTAGTAAGTCTGGTAGTCTATAAAGGAACATGATTATTAATGGTGGAAACAAACAGGAATGTAATATAATAACGCATAAAAATTGAGCTTACATCCTATTAAGTTTATCCATAAAAATTCGTCGTCGAAGTGCTTTAGGGGCATGTACATCTGTTAAAGGTAATACTGCAGTAAAATCATCATTCTGTTCCATAGTTTCTGCAGTTTGTTCAAGTGTTTCTACAACCATATCTCCTTTAAAAAACGCCTTCACCTAAAAATGAGAATTTTACATATCTGTAACTGTGTAACATATGTGAATTTATATTGGTAATACTTACTTTTAATTCTATTTTCTTTCCTTCTTCGCGTAGGACAGATAAATGTGGCATAGGTTTCAAAGAACTTTTTGTTAAATCTGTATCATCTTTCTCATCTTCCAATTGCAATTTATTTAATTTTTTACACAAATGTAAATATCTGTCATGTTGAGTTATATTATCTAATAACTTATTTCTAATTTCTTCTTCCCCTGATAACAAAGAAATAGTATCTTCATTGATCCATTCTTTTATGTTATTTTCAATGTGCATTGTTAAATTATGAAATTTAGTTGATTGTTTCTCTTTAATATGATCTTTTTGTTTATGTGTCTTAGATTTAGTTTTTTCAACTTTTTCTACATTATTTTTATCGTTAATGACTGTATTTTCTTTAGTAACAGCTGTACTATTACATACTATTTCTAATGTTTTGAACAGTTTATTTTGTTCTTCATTCTTTTCGTTTTGATCTTTATCCTCACTTGAGAAAATAATTTCCTTATGCAGTCTTTGCTCATCTTGAATTTTAATATTATCTAGTGCAACTGCATTTTGTAAAACAGATTTCTGTTTTGTAATGTTGTCACTTTCCTTTGAAACATTGTCGCATTCTTTAACATCAGTGAACGTATGTTTTATATTAATTGATTTATCTTTAAATTGGTCAACGGTTTTAACCGAAGGTATTAAAAATTTATCTTTAATGGAATCCAAAGTTTTGCTATTAGTTATTTCTCTAGGTTTACTATTTAGGTCATTATTGTCCATTATATTATACTGATTATCTGTGTTAATTATGGAACATTTACTCTGAATTTTTCTTATTTCAATATGTTCTGAATTTTTTAATTCTTTATTGGAATCTGCAGGACGGTCTTCATTATTAGAATTTAATTCTGTGATTGTATTTGTCACATGAATTTCATCTTTAGATGTATTATTTGGATTTAATATTGCGGTTGTATCCATTACACAAATTTCATCTCCAGGTGTACTTCTCTGTAATACATCTTTTGCTGGTAAAACTTTAAAATCTGGTATTTCTTCTTTGTCTCTTAACCAAAGAGGACTCGTTAAGATTTGTTCCAAAAGATAATTACATGCACCATAACATTGTGAACTACAGAAATTTTTACGTCGGGTTATATCATAAACTTTGTTCCGTCTTGTAGATATATGGTATTGTTGATTAATAACCATTGTTAGTGCATTTGAACATAATACATAGCCACACAACTTGATTACAGCTCTTTCTTCAATTACATCTTCCATATGACATTTGTTAATATATCTCAACTATAAAAATATATTAATGTAAAACTTTAATGTTACGATTACTTCACATTTATTACTTACATTATATAAAAGCCATTGGACATCAATATTAGGTTCTAAGAGTTGTTCGACAATTGTAAGGGCTTTAGCGTCACATTGTTTTTTCTTAGTTATCAATAACTGCATTTGTGCCTTGCTTAAACAAAAACAAAATTGCATAACGAGTTCAAGAAATGAACTTATTAAAGTTATAATAAAGACATTTTTATACTTAAATAAAAAATTACATTCTAGGTAAATTATTTATTAAAACAAAGTTTACCTCAATTTTTTCTTCACTTTCCTTCTTTCAGATGTTTCTTCTTTTAACGTAGATGATGCCATTTCGAAGTATTAATTAAAAATAAAAGTTTATAAATGTAAAATATTTATCCGAAGACGTTCTGAGATCCGTTGTACTAACGTTAACGTTATTATTTACCAGAAAAAAACACGTTAAAAAAAAGTACCATTTAAAAATTCCTATTATAGGGAACAAATGAATCACATTACAATCTTATAAGTATATCATTTTTAATTTTACTATTTCATGCAAAAAGTGATATCTTCCATAAATAAAAATTCAAAGAAATTCAAGAAGAAAAAGTAAAAAAGACTATATAGTAGTTTACATTATGCATTGCATGGGTATTTATTAAGTATTTCCTAAATCAATTTTTTTTCTTGTGTAATCGTTTCACAACAGTTATAAAATATGATTAAAATAATAACTAACTTTTACGATTATTTTGCAATATATCCTAGTAATTTTTTTTACTTCTTGTGACTCCGATAGCAGTAATGCTAAGATTTGTCAACCTGACTGTAGAATTAATTAATCAAAATCCAAGAAAATTTAATTGTACTCTTAATTATATATGGTTTCTAATATGATCAATATTGAATTAACTTATTATTCGAGACTAAATATACAAAAAGATATATACCAATTGCGATACGATTAATAATATGAAATACGAAAATTTCAGAGATAAATTTTAGTACAAATGTTTAACGCACTCTAGTGGCGACTCTGGAAACACTCAACCGGCTGTCTTGTAGAAGTAGAGGTCTATCGAAGTAGATGGAAAAGAGACTAGTAGAGTGTGACTGATTGTATGGTGTGATCTTGGAGTGGTGTTACGTTTTCAGTATTATCTTGTTGTGCTCGCCATGACGTTGGTTTGAAATTGTATTCCAAAATATTAATCCCGATGTTGGTCGTAGGACTGTGCCAATGTAGTTTTCATGCTTTTAACGAGGAGAGACTCTGGGGAGGCAATTCGTGGATACCGAAGAAAGCTTCAAACACGTTTGAAGCTTTCGAGGTCGTATTCATGGAACTATGAACCTGGACTCGTTGTCTTTTACTTTGTCACAAATCAGTTATTTGGTTGCGAATTTAAATAAGAAAAATTTTCGGGACAGCTGCCAAGAAATATCAGATGTAAGTAGACAAAAAACCTGTTGTACTACTGCATCTCTTATGCCCACCCCTTCCACTTTCTGTTCATCACACGCCGTCCTCGAAACAGCGCAATATGCTTCGTGAACATTATTGCCGATTTCACTTAAATCCGCCTGCTAGGATAAACTTTTACATTACAAAAATCAAACAGGGATTTATGTACAATTCCACGCATCCGTTTCATTATTATTGGTAATATATTACTCACGCGGCACAAAATACACCTTGAACTTAGCCTCTTTCCATGATTTGTATCTGTTCAACGTATTATTTCGAACGAAGAAGCTTTTTTTGGTCTTTTCCCGTACACATGCCAATCATTAATCATGATAGATCAATTGTTTAGCTAAGCAATAAATATTTATGTACTTATTTTGTAGTTAGTTATTTTTGAATGTTCTACAACCTTCTTTTTTTCCCACTTCTATTGTTGCAAATCTAGTTATGTGACAGAGTTTGTATTCTATACATTTATTCTTATATAGATGTTTAATATATGATTGTTTAATCTATTTTAAAATTTATTGCGATATTATAGTTGGTGCTGTGGAAGGGTCTGGAGGCAGACAGACACTTGCTGCGCTCTTTGCTCTCGTGCATCGATTTTTCAACAGGAGAGCCACCGGAATCAAGTGCGAAAGATTATTTTCAAGTGCAACTTCTGAAGCAAGAGTGTACTAACCTTCTTAGCAAACCTTCTTTTATTTCTAATCTGTGCTTTGCTATAGATCATCCATTTCATCAGCAAAAGGTTTTTTTTATTTTATTTCTTATTTAGATTAAGGTCAATGTTATTAGTGTTAATACATATAGAAACAGTTCTTTTATTTTGTAATGTTTTGTATGTTTAAAATGATAATCTTACTTAACTTTACTTTTACAGACTTTGAATCCATCGCCAAAGTTTTTTTTACGTTTGAAAAAGGTACTTGGCTTAACTCTGGTACAAGAAGTTGCATTTGCGATTGCGTTGCTGCATTCTGAGAATTCTGAAATTTGTGCATTAGCCCTAGAGCACGTGCAAAAGCAGCTGCCTGAATTGATAAAAAATTATATCAACTCTGAGACAAGCAATAAACATCACGAGGAAGGATTACACGATTCGTTGCCTGAAGTTCTTCACCTTATATTATCACAGGCTTTATATACAGCCAATCAATTTGGCCTTTCATCGGAAGCAAAAGAAAAATTTCTCAAGAATTTAAGGCGCGATTTTCCCCGTGAGCTGGTACCAGTGGTGCTAGCACCACTCTTGTATCCAGACAACGGGGAAACTCCGCAAGCCAAAATTGAATTAAACATGGCTGTCAATCAACTGGTAAAATTAATAATATTCATCACTCTATAGCTTTTACATTGAATTAAATATTAAATTTTAAAATATTTATAACATATGCTTCTTAGGATGGGAATTCCCTAGTAGAATTGATTATGGAATTAGGATATGGATTTACTAGCAGCGTTGAAGAATGTAGATCAGCCTTAGCTGGCCTAGGTGCTCGAGAAATATCCCCAGCATGTGCTGCTAGAGTACTAGGTCATATGGCACGTACTTGTAACAACCTTGACGATGCTGGAGGTTTACAATCATTTTGGGGTAATTCAGGAGCTACACAAGATGCTAACAAAGAAAAGTCTGCAGATAATGTTGCTCCTACTACCTGGAACGTTGAAGTGTTTATTCAAGCTTTAAAAGAAATTGTGAGTAACATTAATTCTTAATTGTTAAGAGACCAACAATAAGTGTATTAAAAATTAATCATATTAATTAAATATTCTCCTTTATTTTAGCAATCCACACTGTCTTGGAATGAAGTGATAGTTAAATTGGATCATGCTGAATTCGTTATTAAAGACAGACAAGGGTTGAGTATACTAATCACTGGTTTAAGGTTGGGGTTGCAACATCAAGGATATCTACCAGATATGTTTCCTGTAGAACTTTTTTATCGTCATTGGGATAATGTAGAAGGACAATTCTCCTTAGTACAACAAATTTTGAAATGTCCAGACATATTTTGTTTTGCTGATTATCCATATCACTCTGTAACCGTTGATGTATTAAAAGCAGCACCGGAGAGCGACAGTAAAGAAGCACAAACATGGAGATCCTTGAATGTTGTTGAATTACTCTTACACATGGCAGAAAGAGGGCTATATGGACCAGTTCAAGAAATATTCAAATGGCCCGTTCAACACTGCCCTGATGTTCTTGTATTAGCATTATTGCAAATTAATGCGCCTATTACTATATTGAGACAAGAACTACTTAGTACATTGATGCCTATTTTCCTTGGAAATCATCCGAACTCTGCTGTCATTTTACATCATGCGTGGCATGGGAATTCTGTTAAAATAAAATCTATTATCATGCATGCCATGGCAGAATGGTACATACGAGGAGATCACGACCAAACTCGATTATCTCGTATTCTGGATGTCGCTCAAGACCTCAAAGCGTTAACTCATTTACTTACTGCTCAGTCATATCCGTTTGTTATTGATTTGGCTTGTTTGGCGTCAAGAAGAGAATATTTAAAATTAGAAAAATGGTTGACAGATAAAATCAGAGAACAGGGAGAAGTTTTTGTCACCGCTTGTGTAAAATTTTTACAACGGCGTTGCCCGCAGGTGATGGGTCCTGGCATAAAAGAAGACCTTACAGTTCCAAAAGCGAGTCAGCTTCCTCAAGAAACATTGACAACTATGCTTGCTTGTTTGCAAGTGTGTGCTGGGTATGTTTCTTTCTTTGGTTAAGAATGTATTAAAAATTTGAAAACAATCATTTATTGTTTAAATTTGTGTTATAGAGGTGTTTCTCAAGAATGTTCAGAAGCAATAATGACTATGGTACAAAATTGCAGTCTTATGTTGAGTAAGAGTACAATGAGTAGACCTCCGCCACCAGGAGTTCTAAGACACCGAACATTAGAATCTTTTAATCCAGCTACGTTAGGGGGGCCGGTAAATATTAACAGAATTGTTTATATAATTCTTCTATTATTATAGATTGTTGCATACTAAAACATTCTTCGTTATTTTTAAAGCTATTTTCTTCAAAACAAGTAGACCCACTTGGAAATTTAAGCTCAAGTCTTGCGTCTATGAGTTTGGGATCTAGTCTTGGTCCTCCGAGCAGTTCTGCATTCAATTTACCTGGTGCTCTTGGACCTTTGGTGTCTGCACCTGGATCCCCTTCCCGTCTCATGGGACCTTCTCCAAGTCCATTTCCAATTCTACCAGTGTCTTCTCAATTACATTCTGGACCAGTTGGAACACAAGGACCATCTGTCCTTCCTGGCAGTACAACAATTGGAAGTTTAGGTCGCCTTGGGCCTCCAACAGGCATTGAAAAGGCAAGAATACCCGAAACATCGAACTTATTTCCTGACATGGCACAAAATGTTTCCAAAGAAATTGAGGATGAAGCAAATAGCTACTTTCAACGTATATACAATCATCCGCCACACCCCACTTTATCAATCGATGAAGTTCTAGATATGTTGAAAAAATTTCAAGATTCTGGTAGTAAGAGAGAAAGGGAAGTGTTTAATTGTATGCTACGAAACTTATTCGAAGAATACCGCTTTTTCCCTCAATATCCTGATAAGGAGTTACAAATCACAGCACAGTTATTTGGTGGAATCGTTGAGAGAGGATTAGTTAATAGCTATATGACACTTGGATTGGCTCTGAGATTTGTGTTGGATGCTCTTCGGAAACCAGAAGGCACCAAGATGTATTATTTTGGCATAACTGCTCTGGATCGTTTCAAGAATCGTTTAAAAGATTACCAAACATATTGTGAGCACGTCAGGGCAATTCAGCATTTCAGTGAGTTTCCACCACATTTAATTGAGTACATAGAATATGGATTACAGGGGCAGGAGCCTCCCACGAGACCTCAAGGTCCGGTTCTCCCAAAAACCTTAGCAGCTATGTTAGCACCCGTTACTACGCCATATAAAACTATTACAACAACAACTATAACGACCAGTACTACTCAAGCAAAATCATCCACAACGCCAACCACGTCTCTTTCAGCTAGAGTAAGTAAAATATTAATACATTGTATAAATATAATGTAAATTCATTTTATAACATTTTTTTCACAGCTTTATATAATTTGTTTATTCATTTTTAGCCTTCCATTGCTAATGCGACAAATATTGATACATTATTAGTAGCGACAGATAAAGAAGAAAAAATAACAACACCGCCCGAGGCTTTACAAGATAAGACGGCATTCATTTTTAACAATCTTAGTCAATTAAATATGCAACAAAAATGTGATGAAATCCGAGAAATTGTCACGGAAGAATATTGGCCTTGGATGGCTCAGTATCTAGTAATGAAACGTGCTAGCGTAGAATTAGGATTTCATGCTTTATATTCCAACTTTTTGGAATGTTTAAAATTACCTGAAGTGTATAAATTGGTTACTAGGGAAACGTTTAGAAACATAAAGGTATGTAAAAAAAATTCGACTTTTTATACGTTAATATACAAATAATTATACGATATTTTTAACCTTTTCAAATTGTATTATAGGTTTTATTGAGAAGTGATAAAGGAATAGCAAATTTTTCTGATCGTACACTTCTAAAAAATTTGGGTCATTGGTTAGGAATGTTAACTCTTGGCAGAAATAAACCCATTTTGCAGGTATTGTTTACAATTTCTTTAAATTACATATAAAATAATTTGCAATATTTAAACAAATAAATACCGTCTTTCTTTTTATTTTAACAGATTGACATAGACGTTAAAGGTTTACTTGTTGAAGCATATCATAAAGGCAATCAAGAGCTCCTTTATGTAGTTCCCTTTGTTGCCAAAGTACTTGAAAGTTGTGCGAAGAGTCGCGTTTTTCGTCCGCCCAATCCTTGGACAATGGCAATCATGAATGTACTGGCAGAACTTCATCGAGAACATGATTTGAAATTAAACTTAAAATTCGAAATCGAAGTGCTTTGCAAGAATTTAAACATTGATGTTGCTGTAAGTTTATCAATAATTCTTATATTTCTGAGCAGTAATACTAATTGATATGCTTTATTTTTTTTTAGGAATTGAAACCTGCGTTGTACCTGACGGATCCAGAAAAGTTACGAAACTTGGAATCTCAACTATCACATCCAAATAAAAAGGCGGAAGCAAATAATAATCCACAACAAACCCAAGGTCCTATCGAAGAATTGGTTGGTCCAACTACGACCGGAACAATTGTTCCACAAGCACCTCCTGCAAATACAACACCGTCTTTGCCCACTGGTCCACCAGAACCACGTTTCAACTACATGGATATATCTGTAACGAGCATTGCTAATATTGCTCAACACATTACCATCAATAATCAGGTATCAATAATTCTCTGCTAGTGAATTAATTTTCATAGTACATTAAGAATTTTATATTTTAATTAACAAATTTATTTTTCAGTTACCATTGTTTCAAACACATCCACACTTAAAACAGTTTGTTCGTCCAGCTGTTGAAAGAGCAATTCAAGAATGGATTCACCCTGTTGTTGATCGTTCAATTAAAATAGCTTTAACTACTAGCGAACAAATTGTAAGAAAAGATTTTGCATTGGATCCAGAGGAAGTTCGAATGAGAACAGCGGCTAGACACATGGTTAGGAACTTAACTGCTGGAATGGCTATGATTACTTGCCGCGATCAGGTAAAATTTTGAAGCTTCATAAACTTACAAATATTTTTTCAATTTATTTTGCTTGCAATAACTAATATGTATGTTCTTCTTAATAGGTTTTAGCGTCAATTAGTACAAATTTAAAGCAAGCTTTCCTTACCGCGATGTTGGGCACAACTCCGCAACAGAAAGAACTTGCTGAACAAGCAGCTAATGTAGTAGCTGCCGACAACATGGAACTTGCCTGTGCATTTGTACAAAAGACCGCCATTGAAAAGGCTATTCCAGAAATGGATAAGCGTTTGCTGAATGAAATTGAATTACGAAAGATTGCTCGACAAGAGGGAAGACGATATTGTGATCCATTAGCCAAGTATCAAGCTGAAAGAATGCCTGAACAAATCAGATTAAAGGTAGGAGGAGTTACACCTCAACAAATGGCTGTATACGAAGAATTTGCGAGAAATATTCCAGGATTTTTGCCACTTTCCGAACGTGATACACAAGCTCTGTTAATGCCAAAACCTGTCACTGTAAGAATTATATGCGTAACTTTAATTAATGTATATTCATATATATATATATATTTTATATAATACATCGGAGAACTTTTCTTTTAAAGGAACCTGCTGTAACTGCATTTGCCGCTAATCCCGCGGTTGCAGTAGCAGCAGCGCAACAAGTTGCTGCGTATGCAGCAGCGGTGAGTAACGATGAAGTGGGAGCAATGTTAGAAAAGCTTGCAGCCGATGTTGAAGTGTTACTTACTGCAATGGGCCCAGCTGCACCTCCCCCACAACACTCTGCACTTCATAGTCTACTAGAATCTATTATCTTAACAAGAAGATCAAGAGATGCGGGTGCTGCTATGACATTACTCAAGAAGGTAACCAATTATATTATACAAGACCTAAAACAAATAACTTAATCTACGCATTTTCTTTCAGGCTGTGGAAGGATTGTTGGACGGTCCCACAATCTCAAGTGGTGTGATAGATTCCGAATTTATACTACGATATAGAGAACTCCATTTACGTATTCTAAAGTGTCTTCAAGATCCGCGTGCGTACGGTATGCAGTGGACAAACAAACACGTTACTCGTTGTTTAACTGAATGTAGAGAAGAATTTCGATACAATTTTGAAGCTGTCGATTATCTCATAAGGTACATTATTTTTTATAAAACATTGTTCGGAGACGAAGGATTTGAAAATAGTCAGATATAAATAACATTTTTACATTACTTACAGATCTCATCTAATTAGTCTTCCGCAGTATGACTTGGCCTTAGCTCAAGCTATAGATTCTGGAAATGCCATGGCAACTGCATTTGCGATGCAACTGGTACAACTTTATTTAGTTGATGAAAGACAAACTACGCACGTTACCGAATCCGATTTGTTTCACACAATTGAAATACTAGCGAGAATGGCTCATCATAGAGCACCACCCGAAGGGTTATTATTTAAAAATATTATACTACTAATTTATTGTATATACAAATTTATTGATAATTAATTCAATGAAATGTTTTTGTTTCCTTTTTTCTTTAGAATCTTATTATTCAGATTGACGAGTTTGATAGAATCCTTGCGCGCTAATCATGATCCAGGTGTACTAGCGGATAGAGCTCCTGCTGGACCTACGGCGCATATACATTCTGGAATTCTGCAGGTGAGAGTAAGTAAATTCTGCCACTCTTGAGGTTCATAGAACATACGTATGTAAGTACAATTCATGTTATTTGCTTTTCTTCGTAGGCACGTGACTTTGACGACCCGCCCGGATTGATGGAAAAAACAGAGTATTTGCTCCGTGAATGGGTATCAATGCATCATAATCCAACGCACGCGCGTGATCCCACGAAAGCTTTCGGAATGTTTGTTCATCAAATGAACATGCATGGAATTTTGAAAACCGATGATCTCATAACAAGATTCTTTAAACTGAGCACACAAATGTGCGTTGATTTGTGTTATCGTGCTCTAGCCGAGACCAACGCGGCCCCATCTGTTGTTCGTGCAAAGTGTTTCCATTCGTTGGACGCTTTTGTCCGTTTGGTCGCGCTTTTGGTAAAACATTCTGGTGATAGTACAAATACTCATACAAAGATTAATCTCCTAAATAAGGTTCTGGGAATTGTCGCCGGTGTATTACTGCAGGATCACGAAATACGTGGAACTGATTTTCAACAACTACCCTATCACAGAATCTTTATTATGCTCTTCTTAGAGCTCTGCGCCCCTGAGCCAGTATTAGAAGCAGTGAATTACCAAGTATTAACTGCTTTCTGTCATACTCTGCATATACTTAGGCCAGCTAAAGCTTCAGGATTCTGCTACGCTTGGCTAGAGCTAGTTTCACACAGAGTTTTCATTGGCCGCATGCTCGCGATCACACCACAACAAAAATGTTGGGGAATGTACGCTCAGCTTTTGATCGACTTATTCAAATACTTGGCACCTTTCCTTCGAAATGCCGAACTTGCGAAGCCTGTCACCCTGTTGTATAACGGAACACTCCGAGTGATACTGGTGTTATTACACGACTTCCCAGAGTTCCTTTGCGACTATCATTATGGATTTTGTGATGTGATCCCTCCTAACTGTATACAAATGAGGAATCTGATTTTAAGCGCGTTTCCAAGAAACATGCGCTTACCCGATCCATTCACACCAAACCTGAAAGTCGACATGCTACCGGAGATAGCGCACGCCCCGCGAGTGTTGACCAACTTTGCGTCTATGATACAACCGCTTAGTTTCAAAAAGGAACTTGATTCGTATTTAAAGGCGCGTGCTCCAGTCACCTTCCTTTCTGAACTGCGCAGTAATTTACAAGTATCCCAAGAAGCGGGTGTTCGTTATAATAGTCAATTAATGAACGCCCTAGTACTTTACGTTGGTACCCAAGCTATAGCTTTCATTCGTAGCAAAGGGCATACACCGAATATGTCCACTATCGCACATTCTGCACATATGGATATATTTCAAAACTTGGCGGTCGATCTCGATACAGAAGGACGTTATTTGTTTTTAAACGCGATCGCGAACCAGCTACGGTACCCCAACAGTCATACGCATTATTTCAGCTGCACGCTTTTGTACTTGTTCGCCGAAGCTAACACCGAAGCGATACAAGAGCAGATCACAAGAGTTCTTCTGGAAAGACTTATTGTGAACAGACCTCACCCATGGGGTCTACTTATTACCTTCATTGAACTTATTAAAAATCCAACATACAAGTTCTGGACGCACGAGTTTGTTCACTGTGCACCAGAAATGGAAAAGTGAGTGCCATGCTTTCACGATGATTTAATTTATATCAATGATTATCGTGTCCTTAACTCCTCGAAATTTCAATGTTTCAGATTATTCGACTCAGTTGCTAAATCGTGTATGGTTCAACAACTACAGCCCACTCCGGAACCGGAGATCCCAAAGTCATAGGACGCTTTATTTTTCATTGTCGATTTGTGTACAGTAAAATGAAGGAACGTAATTAATAAGGATCGCGTGTAAAAAGTTGTTAATGTACGAATAGATGTACTATACTTTGGGCTTAATTTTTGGTGAATAGATACTGGAATAATCGTATATTAAGTGTATCGATTCAGCTAGAATAAGTGAGACTACTATTATGTTAATATTTTAATAAAAATATTGTTGCATCGATCGAAAAAGCAACGAACATTCAACCTCACAAAACGTGTCTTTCGAACAATGTACTTGAAACAGTATGTTACCATGACATTGTAATATTATAGCACAAATGTCAGTATAATGCGTATCATAATGGCGGGGAGAGTAAGTCAAGAATAATAAGGGTGTTCAAAAAATAATAGTGAATTTTTGTAGGTTAATACCAAGTATAAATGTACTATGAGTAAGTGGTATATGGAGTCAGTACCAAAATTAATACGTTGTGCTATGTAAGTCATTTAGGGAGTACTTGCAGAATGTATGGTGCATTTGGAAATCTGTAATATAGTACATAATTACTAGTATACATTGATGTAATTTTTTAAGAATTGTAGCTATGAAAAAAGATAAAAGCTGATTAATTAAATTGTGGTTTACATAATTATTTGTTTCAAATACTAAACAGTGCTTTATAATTGTCGCTTATCAAATAATTTATTAATTTTTTTTCTATATACATTATTTGTACACGATTTGAAGTTTGTATTGTCAGAATCACACAATCTGCTGATCACGTGTTGCATGATACGAGTCTCTTTCTTTATCTGGAAACTTGGTTGGCAAATTTGGACTATGCAAGTGACACTTGGCCGGAAACTTTATACCTGCTACGTCTACTTCGTAATCACCGGATAAAACGTATTCGTTTGTCACTTCTTGAGGCCGTCCTTTTGAATCGAAGTTCTGTATAAATCCAAGGCAAACCTATAATAAAATTTATTAATTATTTCTTAGATAAGACAATTCATATTTTGCAATTTCAATATACTTTCAGACATTCCCAAACAATTTACTACAATAGTGTTTATTATGCTATATTTATATTAATATAGGCGTTTATTTTTTAAGAATGTTATATTAATACCTGTTTCCTAAATGTAAATCCATAACCTGTAGTAGTTGTCATTCCACAATATTTTCCATTTCTGAAAATTGGTTCGCTACCCCAACACCATGTATCCAATTCAGAATCATGATCATTCAATAGTAACTGCACATATTTGCGTTTTACACCTTCTTCTCTTTGTTTTAAAAGAGCATCTCTCCCAATAAAATTGACTGCTTTCTATAAAGTAGAAGTATATCTTTTTAATATCGTTGTGCACCTGTATTTTGTAAATTTAAAGTATACGCACATCAAGTTTCACTCTCCATGTTCTTCCACATTCTAAAGGAGTTGTAAATGTATCTAAATCTTGGCCCCAGAACGCATAAAACTTTTCTACTCGTAGTGCTCGCGTTGCATAATATCCAGCATGTTTTAGTCCATATTTAGCTCCAACGTCTACCAATCTTGTATAAACATGTAACGCAAACTATAAACACACAGGTGTTATTGTTATACGTAAATGTAAACACCTCAAATTTTTTATCTGTAGAAAACGACAATACATACTTCATTTGGTATGTATAAAACATAGCCAAGTTCCCCGGTATGAGTTAAATTCATTGTGCGTATTCCATTAGCAAGACCAACGTCTAATTCCTTTTAAAAGAATAAATATGAAGTAAAAACATTTAATTACATGTACATTAACGAAAACAATGAATACCTTAAAAGTAAAAAATGGAAAATTTCTGGGATTCAGATCAGTATCCGTTAATTCGGAAAGTAACTGTCTAGTAGCAGGACCCATAATACAAATTGCTGTATATGCAGATGTCACATCAGACACCGCAACAGAACCATCACTAGGTAAATGACGATTGATCCAATGTTTACAGCGAGTTTGCTGAATAGTGGGAGCGATCATCATGTAACTTGAATGAAAAACAATTACATAATTGTATATTGTATTCCATAATTTAAGAACTTTATGATTACTGCTTACTGATTAGAAGCTATACGGGCCAAACTGCAATCATTTTCATAGCCTCCTCGATTATTTTGCATACCAGTGTGAATAATACTTCCTACCGGTACATCCACATCATTCGAGCATAAGTATTGCAACAGATCTACCACTTCTAAATCATTCGACTAAAACATTCCGTAAGCTGCAATGTTACTTATCATTAAAATCTATTTACATAGTACTTACCCATAAGTCAATTTTAGTAAAGGAAGAGTAATCGCTAATTCCAACTGTTTCACGACACGCAGCGTATTCATCGCTCACTGGTTCAAACCACGGTGGCTTACTAAATGTATTCGTGTAAGCTATTTTGTACCTTTGAAATCCATCAATTGTTTCTAAATCTGTGTAGCAAAGTAATCTGTATAATAAAATCCAGTTCTTCACTTTTGTAATAAGCATATTTCAATGAACAAATTCTATATATTGCAAACAATAATTTCTAAATTTGAAGTTTTTTTACTCTTACACGCATAATAAATCTTACCTCTATCATCATCTAATTGGAACCAAGTTGGCCGTTCATATCCCATTACTTGACCAAAAATAGCTCCTGCTTCTTTAAGTTTCGGATAAATCGGTGACATTCTCAAATTTCTGCCCGTTTTAAATTCGTGATGTGGATATTGTAACGCATAATGCATACCAGGAACTTCTTTTACTCGGTCACGTAAAAATTTGCGATTGTTATGAAGACCTAAAAAACGCGATACATCTAACTCGTACATGTCTAAAGATGTTGAACCGTTGACTATTAATTCTGCTGTAGCTCGCCCGACTCCACCAGCTGCTGATATACCTACCTATAAGAATTATGTGTTGTATGTATAAATATTATTTTGCTATTGCTTACCTATCACCTAAAATTACTTACAGTTTTCATACCAGCAGCAATATAATAATTATGTATTTCTGGTGCTTCGCCTACTATCCATTTACAATCTGGAGAAAATGCTTCAGGTCCATTAGACAACCTGTCCAATACTGCATTTCCTAAATCTGGAATTCTATAGAGCATCTGTTTGAGTAAAATGTGAAAGTGGTCCCAATCTTCTGGTAAAAATCTTTCGTTTGTGCTTTCTGAAATATGACTCCTGTTAAATTTACATTGTCATAAAATGAACATTTCGAGATTTATAAAAAAGTAAAAATTTATATTTAACCAGGTATTGTCCCATCTTCAAATGCTGGTTTTGCAACTGGTTCAAAACCACCTGCTAGCAACCTTCCATTATTTTCTCGAAAATAAATGTAACCATCTAAATCTCTTATCACTGGAGTCATAGGATCTAAACCATTGATAGGTTGTGTGTGTAAATAGTAATGCTCAACAGGATGAAGGGGTACCTAAATATGAAGTATCGGAAAAATATAATTATTTTGTATATATAGCTCATAATAGTTAAAAGAAACCTACTTTTACATGTGGTTCGCTTAATTTACCGACGTTACGTGCCCAAAATCCAGCACAATTTACAAAATGTTCACATTCAATGGCACCATATGTTGTTTCGATAGCTTCAATTCCTTCATTATGAGTAACTACTTTTGTGACTTTACAATTTTCAAATACCTTAACACCTATAAGGTTTATGAACTGAATATATCTTCAAATTAAATATATTTATACTTTTGTTTATAAAAGCTTAAATATACCATTTTTTTTCGCTTCTCCTATTAATGTTAAACAAATCTGATACGGATCTCCTACACCATCGCCTGGAATCCATAACCCACCAACTAAGTCATCTACTCGTAACAAGGGACATATTTCCTGCACTTGTTTCGGTGTAACTAGATAACATTCAATATTACGTGATCTGAAAATAAATTTGGAATTACTTTTTATATTCTTTATAGTATTTATACTTATTTATAGATTGTATAATAGTATCTTAAATATCATCAAGTATCTTATACATTTATAATTATATTTCATTTGCCATTATTTACATGGACTGTGCTTTCATTCGTCTAAAAAAGGTCATACGATCCCTTGTGCGCGCTAAAGAAAGACTACCACATTGCTTCCAGCCTGTTGATAAACCTCTTTCTTCTAATTCTTTATATAACGCTATACTGTCTTGAGCAAGTTTTACTTGTGTCAAACTTGGCTTAAACGCTCCAACTAATCCTGAGGTATGCCACGTTGTTCCACCGCCAACTCTAAATTAAAAGAATAAACCATATAATTATCAAGAATATGAATCTAATACTTTGTAAAACATAAGTTCTGAAAAACATTTACCTGCCACTTTCTACAATAACTGTTTGATGACCTAGCCCCATAAGTGAAAGATAATAAGCAACAGCACCACCCATAACTCCACCACCACATATAACAACTTTTGCATTTTTAGGAAGTGGATCATCAACGTCATCATTTGTTATTATAGTAGATTTTGAGCTGCTATGTCTTACTCTTTGATAATTATAAAAAACAAAATTGTTCCATTTTGACACATAGTTTTTGCAAAGTGACTTTGAATTATGCCACATTATGATTAATATAAATGTATAATATTTAAATAACTGCAAACAAAAATGGTACAAATTTGAATCAATGAATAATTTTTATACATGCATACATAATTAATGTCGAACAAGGTTAGAAAATTATAATATTCAAAAGATGTTTATTGTATTTTTAATTTCATACCTATTTTGGAATATAATTGACCTCGTTGATACTTAATGCTTAGAGTTCAAAATACATATTTACTATGTCCTGACACATCTTATATTTTTTAATAATGTAAATATGTATGTAAAATATACTTAGAACTTTGAATGCACATGAAATCCAAATACAGTAAAAATAAGTTTTAATTTAAAATTCTACTGTAAAGATATTATAAAAGTGAACACTTATTCTGTAATACTTAGAGGTAATAAAGGTTACGTAGAACGTCAATTTATTGAATAGCTTTTAATATATGCAATCTTACTTATTTGAAATATATTATAAAATATTTTTATAAAAAAATATGATTACTAGAAATTATATTATATATTCGAAAGTAAATATTTAATATTGACAATACGTCATATATTTCTAATGAAAAGATAGTACTATACACGTCCAAAATCTTAAAGATAGTTATAAGATAAAATTTAATTGACCACGTAAAATGATTACATCATTTCAGATGAACATAGAATAATTTGAAACAGTACTTATAACAAGCAATTTTTTAAAAAATTTAATTATATTTTTATAGATAATTTCATATAATACATACACACCGCACACGCGTGCGCGCGCGCATAATATAAAATAAGTACACACATTCGCATGCACAGAATATGAAATAATTAGTAAGTAAACAAATAAGTAGGTATAGATAGGTTCAACCTAAAGCATTTTATATTTATGATAAAACTTGTATAGTTTATTAAATAAAAATTTAGTATTAATCATAAAATTTATAAAATATATTATCAGTAATTGATATTTTATTTTCGAAATAATTTCAAAAGAAATTATAATAATTAGTTACAATTATAAGTATGATCATAATTATTAAACGATACGTAACGATGTACGAAACTACCGCGATTGTCTGGATTTATTGAAATTTTTGTCGAGATCGTCTTCCATAGTCGCTCTTATAGGTACAGTTACGGACAAAAGTTTAAGACGTTTATCCTTTTAATAAATTATTACATTTTATTATAGATACTAAACGTCCAACAATTCTCAATTGTTCTTAAAATTTACACATATATTCGTAGTCTATCTACGAACAACCTAGACTCTTTCAAAGCATATACAGTGTTTGACAGAATGAGTGCAGTTTTAATGACTGCAGTACATCTTTGTGACATTGAATCAATTAGCTGTATACATTGTTCTATTGAAATTTTGTTCCATTCTATTTCAATTGCAGTCTTAAAGATCATTCAAATTTTTAGATTTATATTGGTGTATGTTCCTTTTAACACTGTTCCATAAGTTTTCAATTGGATTGAAATCCGATGATTGTGATGGCCATGGTAAAACAGTAATATTTTCTTCTATAAAATACTGCTTCACGATTTTAGCAGTATGTTTGGCATCATTATCTTACTGGAAAATGAAATTGTCTCCCATATACTCACGTGCATAAGGTATTACGATTTCCTTTAAAATTTTCCAGATATTAAAACCTGTCCATAATGTCATTAATTTTTCGAATTGGTCCTGTACCGTTTTTGCCCTCACTATTACGCAACTACCACCGTGCTTCAGTATTCGTACGGTGCAGTTTGAATTAAGAGGTTCACCTTTGTGACGTTTGATATATCGAATTCTGTCAGAAGATACTCTATTGAATTTCGACTCGTCAGAAAATAATACATTTCCCCAATCTTGTACTGTTCAGTGCTTGTGTGCTTTAATAAAAGCGATCCGCCACTTCCGATTTTTCTAACTCAGTACTGGTTTCTTTCGAGCCACGCGATCATTAAAGCCAAATTCGCGCAAACGTCTACGACCGATTCTTACACTAATATTCAGATTATCTATAGTACAGATTTCACGTTTGATATCGATAACAGTCTGAAAACGATTCTTTTCGGATAAACGATGGATGCGGCGATCCATTTTTATAGTAGTTTTTTGAGGTCTACCACTTTTTAACTTATCGTCATAGTAGCTCGTTTTTTAAAATTTATGTCAGGTCTTCTAATAATGTTTACTATTTTGACAAATTTGTTTCTCTTCTTAATGATACTACAATTTTCCTCTTTTCTACACGTAGATTGTTGGCTTTACTAAATGTAATATATTAAATATTTCTATTATTTCGCGATTAATCTAAAGTACTGCTGTATTTGAATGTTCGTCTTAAATTAATGTCCATAACAAATACAACATCGAAGGTTTCGTGCTCATCGTTTCAAGGACTGTTTATGTTTTGAAGAACTCTAGCTCGTTCATACGTAGAGTACGAGTGTACGTGTAAATTTTAAGAATAATTGAGAACTATTAGACGTTTAGTATCTTCAATAAAATCCGATAATCTATTGAAAAGATAGTGGTTACTTTTATGAAAACTTTTGTCCGCTACTGTACATAGAATGGAATGTGAGGTAGTGTTTTTCGCGGTCATCTCAAAAACGAACAGAGTGCAACATTTTTGTCAAAAGAAAAAAATTATTTAAAATATTGATTTCTACATTTGTCAATTTTATGAAAGTCGGCACTGTCGCGAAAATTCTGTAATATTATCATAATTATAATTATAAAATTTACAAAAAATAGGTAATACATGGCTCTTAGCATTTACTAAATTAAACTCCATAAAAATAAATACAAATTGTGTAAATTTATTATTTTTTAACATTTTTAAAAAATAGATATTTTAATAATATTTATTAACAGTGATTGCTATTAGTTTATAATGTAAATTAAATAAAGGTAATATTTTGTTCCACTTTTATGTTATCAATAAAAATGTGATGTGCTGTCAAAAATATTTTAGGGATTATCTTATGCATAATTGTAATCAGTGTATACAAAGTTTCAATGTTAATATTATATAACATTTGTTACGAAGAAAGCTACCAAGATCATTTTCATTTGTACATTTGATTGACAAGAAACTGTCCAAGTCAAAGTATGTGCGTACCATAATATGATACAATTTGAAAATTATTTCAAAGTGAAATGCAATGAAAAGAAATTCTAGCATTATATTCCTTTATCTCCTGCAACGACCAAGGTAAGCTTTACAATTAGGGCAACTGTGGTGAACGTCCATGCACTCATCGATACAGCAAGGAATTAAACAACATCCCAACCAGCCTCTGTTAAAATACAAAAACATGAGAATAATCTAAAATATTAGATACTTAATTAAAATGTATTCATATGTACCCCATTATTGCGATCAGAACACCAGATATGCAAGCAATCAATCCAGGTTCTGTTTTAGTTGAAGTATCAATTTCAGCATGGCAATGTGGACAAATTGTATGTGTTGATCCTGGTCCAAGTGGAACAATTGTTGTTACTATAGTTGGTCCATTAGTATCTAAAAAATGTAATGAACAATTTCATTGGAGAAATTATATTACATAATACATATAGTGTGTACAATATATAAAACATATTTATACATAAATATTAAATCTAAACATACAGGTTTTTGCAGGTGTAAAAGGACTAGCAGGTGGAACACCACCCATTGTCTGTGAGTAACCAGGTGGTGCATAAGGTGGTGGCGGTCCATTTTTATGCATGACGTCTTGGTTTTATTTATATCTGCAGTATCTATAATTAAACTTAATTACATAACTATACATTAATGAGCAAAAATAGTGACATTATTAATTCATATTTATTCGTATATTCAAGTACAAATAAATAAATACAAGTTTTAATATGATTGTAGGTATAAATTATTTTGACACAATTCGTAATCAACATCTTACTTTGTGTATAATTTATGTAGACATTAAAAAAATATTAAGTCGAATGATTAAATGCGTAATACTGAAAAATAATGTATTTTGTAAAATAATTAACGTTAGCTGAATCGCCGAAATATTGTAAGACTAATTTCAATCATGAATATATTTACTCATTCGAGTTAATAACATTGTCCTAGATACGTGCGATTCGATTGCGAAATTTAATGTCATAAATGACATCCTTGCCCGTTGGAGAAAAGAATGACACATCCAATGATCCTTTATTAATGATTATACGTACACACAGCATGCCATGATTACGCCTACCTTAATAAAGTAAGAATGGAATGATCACCCATTAGTTGTTTACACGATGTATGAGTAATATCTAAATATGAATTCTGTGCATACTTTCACAGTTTTTAGTGTAAACACTAGAAAGATGGCAAAATATCCTTATGCACGTATATAGATGGCGTAGTACAAGTTTCATGAACATTCCATTGAAACTAAATATTGATTATTCGGAATGTTCACGTCTGTATTTTGCATTTATACTTTGTGTTGTAACGACAAGGTATATAATCAATAAATTATCCTTTAGTTACGTCGTGAATGGTCAACGGACACATCTGCGATTTGTCCTGCAAACATTGCGTGATATATTTTTTTGCGATTGGTCGGCCATTTAATATACTGGGTGCAGTGTCATATGCAACGGTATGCACTGTATGCAATGTGGACAAGGCTTGAGAAATCAATATCATTTTATAGTGCATATCTATGTATATCTAAACCATAGATCAGAGCGTGGTATTTAATCTTACTTGACACAATAAACAATCATTTGTCCAGCGTGGAGGAAGAACGTTTGTTCGGTGATAGTGTGCATTGTTAATTTTCGCCAACCTGCTCTCCATGAAATCTACTCTGAAACGTTAATCAGGTGTAGAAAGACGGAAACCTTAAAATTGCACGTTTCCTTATCGAATTTTTTTCATAATATCAAATATTTCCTTTCATTCTCATCATGATAGATATCTTATTTTCTTTAATCAAGCGCCAATCGCTTTTGTTTTAAATTTTAACTTAATATCTTTTGTAACAATGACGACAAAAATCAGGTAAAAAATGTAACTTATTCATTTAAGCAATGATAAACGTGTCTGACAGTTCGTTGTTACCAATTAACAGGGACGTGTTTCAATAATTCTGAAAAATGGTGCTAAGTCGAAATGATAAAAGAAAAAGAAAAGAAGGAGATCTGGTGGATCTCATGGAGCCACTATCAGAATCTCCAAAGAGGTAAGTTCACAATGAAAATTTTTATTTGGAACATTCACTTTTTAAAACTTATTAAGATAATATAAATGCTTGCTTATCTTCCAAATAATTAATAAATATTTGATTTTATGAAGTAATAAAAAAAAAATGATAAATGTATTATTGTTGCTTTATATGGAATTTTTATTGTAGGACCAAAGTACATGCACAAAGAAAATTTGCTCAAGGTGCAACAGTTTTCAATCCTTCACATACCCCAATTAAGGACAAAGAAAAAGCCAAACCAGCGGTTATAACAGAATTAATAACACATAAACGACCAAATACAGAAGATTTTTTAACATTTTTATGTTTCAGAGGTTTATAATTTTATTATTTTTATAAATAAGATAATTTATATTTTATGTTTACTAATTTTTGTTAAACATCTTCATTCAGGAACGTCAATTTTACCTCCAAGTTTAAATTTCTTTAATGTTGGTAACAAAAAAGAAAAACCAGATGCTAAAACAACACGCGTGCGAACGGATAAAGTTACAATTTCATCCAGCACATCCTCTGAAAATCAAAAACCAGATTCAAACCAGAAAACCATTACCAAAATAAAATCCATTATTACGGATAAAAAGAATAACACGCTACAAAAGAATATTAATAAATTTAAAACTACAACATCTACTGTGCAAGCACTTAAAAAAAAGTATCAAGAACAGCGTCTTGCTAAACAAAGGATAAAAAATAAATTTAAAACATCTTGTGTTATGAGGACAAGATCTTGTACAGAAAGAACACTCATAAAGTCTACAAATAAATTGGCATCCAGAAAGTTTCTGCCAAGAATTGAAACTAAAAGGCTTGGTTTACGAAGCAGTGTACTTACAGACAAGACCAAAAAGACTTGTCCAAAAACAAAGTCTATCCCACCAAAACCAAAGAAAAAAGTTCATATGAAGCAAAAAGGCAGCGATACTTCTAATTCAGAATCTACATCTGAAGAAGAAGAAGAGGGACCTTTAGAAAAGTCTGTACCACAGGTAAAGCGTACAGTGCAAAAAACTGTTCAGAAGAAGATATGTACAAGGAGCAAATCTGAAATGAGAAGAATTACTCGTTCTCATAGTGGAACGATTTCTCCGAAAAATCTTTGCAGAAGACCATCCAGAAAAACTAAAGAAGCAGCAGCAGTATACATGGAAATTCTTGGAAGAAAACTTATAAGTCCTGACTTAGAAAATGATGATAATGTTTCTATGGATAGTTTTCCAGAATTACCGAATGCACGTAAAATTGCTCAAACAGAACGTGAAATTAAAGCCAAAGTAAAACAACCAATTATAAAATCAATTAGTAAATCTAAGGATGGTAAAACCACCTCCATTCAAAACACATCCAATAAGCGAACAGATAAAACTAAAACTAGTAAAATTACCTTCAAAAGCAAACGACTAATAAGAGTTCAAAAATATTGTGAAATAGATACTGATGAGGAATCTGTAACTTCTAACGAAACCAGTAATACGAGACCCGTTACAAGACGAAGTTTAGGAAAATTGAATAAACCTGTAAGTAGATTTCTTAGATCTTCTTCTAAGAATGTAGTTTCACGAATGGAAATTCAAAGTAGCATAAACATTAAATCAAAATCTCAAGTTCAAAATAGTCTAAGGCTTAATAAAGAAAAGTTTGTAATGAAACGTAAACGAGAACAAAGTTTTAATAAATCGTCTGAAAAGAATAATGCTTTGAAGCAGAAAGAAACAAAAAACATTGTTAATGAAAATACAGATTCCGAAGAAGAAACATTAGGTATGTTACTTAACAAGTTAAAGAGAAAGAAAGAAATTCACGAATCAAATCAAAGTGCTGCTATTAATGAAAATCGTGAAGATGATAATGAGAATGAGAATGAAAACGAGAATGAAAATGAAAATGAGAATGAAAATGAAAACGAAAATGAGAATGAGAATGAAAATGAAAACGAAAATGAGAATGAAAACGAAAATCAGAATGAAAATGAGAATGAGAATGAAAACGAAAATCAGAATGAAAATGGAAATGATAATAACAATGATAATGAACATGATAATGATAATGATAATGATATTAATAATGACCATGACAATAATAATGACAATGACAATGATAATGACAACGTCAATGACAACGACAATGATAATGTCGGCGACAATAATTTAGATAAAGTTGAGGAACGTTTAGATGAACATTCTTCAAAAATAGATCTGTCAAAAGCATCAGACGATGAGGAATCTTTTCGAGGGTTTACAAGAAAAGCGATATCCAAGGTATTAAATTCTTGTCAGACACACGTTAATGCTAATCTTTTAGCCACTGAAAAAACCACTGAAAAATTAGAAATTGCTAAAACAAAGAAAGTAGAAAATATAGATACATTCAAAGAACAAGAAATAAAAGATAAGTCTGTATTGATTAAAAGTTCTTTTCCAATTACAAGTGTGACAAATGATGAATGTAATCAATCTGAAGAAGGCCAGAAAATGAAATTGGAATTACTCAATGAAGTTGAATCACAAACAACATTAATAGCAAGTACAGAAAAAGAATATATTCACAAAACAGAAATGTCTTCTACGAACGTTATAGATATGTCTTTATCAACATTGCACGTAAGGAAAGAAAAGGTAAACATGTCAACTGAACAAATTGAGAAATGGTTGAATGAAAGTTCTTTAGCCAAAGAAGAGAGCAAGTTAGAAATGGAAAACGTTTCTATGTTTAAATATGAAATGTGTGAAAAAAAGAGCGACGTCTCACACTTATCTATTTCAACAAAAATTCAACACTTGGTAAGACCAGTGAATGTTACACTTTCTAAATTAGCAGAAAAAGCAAACACAAAAGATCGTTTAAATGCACAGAGTAAGTACATACCTCTTGCAACAATGGATTCACAATCTGTTGATGTGAAACATATCGAATCTATCAGTAGTATTAACAAAAATAGTGTGGACTTAAAAGAAATTACTAAAGGGCGAAACATAAAATTGATTAAGGACACCAGCCCTGGAGAAGAAAATGATATAGCATTAAAATCTGATCACAGTTCCGGAGATGGATCTGCTGAAAAAAAGTTACCAATAGAAAAGAAGTCCATATTTCAACCAAGAAAATTATTTTTACCAAAAGTTAAAGAACGTAAAACAGTAATTCCTAATGCAAACGCATTTTCTCCAGAAAACGAAAGTAGTGTCTACGCGTTTGAAAGTGACACTGAAGTTCCTGTTAATACCCCTTTTAGACGTAAAGTTCGTGAATCCAATAAATTATCAAACACAGTTGTTGCATCATGCGAGAGCGACATTCAAAAAAATATGGAAAAAGTCAACAAAGATGATTGTCAAACATTAGAACCTAAGGAAAACTCTAACAATGTACCTCCAAAAAATGAAAGCAAAATAATAGAATCGAAAAATACTTCAAATTCATTATTAAATATTAATAGATTCGAATTACCTAAAAATTTTGCAACTTTAGCTAATATACAAGTTCTACCATTAGACAAATTAACAACTACTTGGAGTAACGTAAATTGCAGTGCTTCGATAGCTGTTCAAGTAAATCTGGATGACAATGTGCAAGGACAAGAACAAATTGGGGAGAAAGATACAAATCAACAAAAAAGCACTGAAACATCTACTCAAACAGAAAGTAGTAATGAAAATGATGATGAAAACGATGGTCAACTATTTTATATACCTTTGCAAGCTGTTACAAGAAATGGACCAAATTTAGTTCAAGGACAACAGCTAATTCAAGGTGTAGCTGTTAAACTTGGCACTGAAGGACCAAATGGACCTAATCAGAAAGTTCTTTTAAGAGCAAAGTTAGTTACTAAACCTCCATCTTCGATCGCACGTTGTCCTCCCATTGGTACAGTGCAACCTACAACTCGTACACCTCCAACTTCTACTCTGTCAGCAATAGACAATCCATTACCATCTACTTCATCAAGCACAACTTCAGTTATGGCTGCATCAAATACTGAAACCCAACCATCTTCCCCATGTAAAAGTGAGAATACAATACAGGCAACGAATAAACAGAACACTGGGATCATGGCAGCTGAAAAATTAACAAAATCTCCAAAAACTTCTAGGGAAAGAAAAACATCTATCGATTCGAATAAAAACGGAAAAAGGTAAAATTATAATTTATTTTTTCATATTGCGAGCTAACATATTCTTATTAATTATTATTTGTCTTTATATTTCTATGTTACAGATGTCAAATTAAATCTAAGCAAAAAAATACTGAAATTTGTTCTCCAACTAATAATGTAACATTTCCAAGTGTAAAAAATGAAAATAACGAAGCCTGTTTAGTTCAAGCTCCAACATTTCAACCTAGTGAGAAAGATTTTCAAGATCCTTTAGAGTACATAGATAAAATAAGACCGATTGCAGAAAAATTTGGAATATGCAGAGTTGTACCGCCACCTAACTTCAAGGTAAAATTGATGAATACATCGTAATTTGAATTCGGTATGTCTTTATAAATAAATCTGTTTGATTTGTTTAATTTGTTTCTAATTTATATTCCAGCCAGAATGTAAAGTATCAGATGATATGCGGTTTACTGCATATAATCAGTATGTACATCGTATGCTTCATAGATGGGGGCCCAATGTAAAGGAAATGATGGCTATTAAAAAATATTTAGCTACACAAAGTATAACTTTAACTCATCCACCTTGGGTAAAGTATCTTTGTAATTTATCATATCATAAATTCAATATGTTTACTAAGTTTATATTTCTTGTAGATCGGTGGAATGGAAGTTGATTTGCCCCATTTATATCAAACAGTTCAAAGTTTAGGTGGATTAAAAGAAGTTATCGAAAAGAAAAAGTGGCAAAAAGTAGCCGATGGTATGAAAATACCAAAGTCTGCTCAAGATCGTGTAACTAAATTAGATGATATTTACTGTAAATATTTATTACCATATGATACATTATCTCCAGGTAATACATATAGACACGCACAAAAGATAATTTATTTTTTAAATTACTAATCAATTAATTGAAAAAATTTAGAGGAACGAGGTAAATTATTTGACGAAGTTGAATTAGAATGGATGAGAAGAGAAAGCAAAGCTTTGCAAAGACAAAACGCACCTATAAATGATAATGAGGAAGATGAAGAGGATGATAGCTCCGACGAATTTGAAGAATGCATTGTAAAAGTATGCGTTTTAAATCATATTTACGTAAATGTAATCTGTATTACGAGTCCTTTCTGGTTATTAATACGTAAAAATGATGTGAATCTATAGGGAAGAAACATGCCATTAAATGCTTTCTATCGTATCGCGCGAAATACACAACGTATGTGGTTTGGTGAAAATCAACGATCTGGAAACGAAACTGAAGGTGCCTCTGCTGACGAAGTTGAAAATGCATTCTGGAAGCATGTCGCGGAACGAAAACGACATGTTTGTGTACACGCTGCAAGCATTGATTCTAGTGGTCGTGGTTTTGGATTCTCCGTTGCCAAGAATAGTCCATTTGCCAGACATCCGTGGAATCTTAAAGTACTTACTAATAATGCTGGTTCAGTGTTAAGAGCTTTAGGTCCTATAATGGGTATGCAAACATACGTTACGTTTATATAATTAAAATGTAGCGTATAATTTTATTAATTATGTTTTCTTTTTAAATTAATAATGTTATTATTTACAGGAGTAACAGTACCAACTCTTCATGTTGGAATGTTATTTAGTGCATGTTGTTGGTACCGCGATCCTCATGGTCTTCCATGGATAGAGTATTTACATACAGGTGCTAAAAAAATCTGGTATGGCATACCAGATGAGCACAACAATAATTTTAGAGAGGCTCTATCAAAAATGGTGCCACGATATTGTAAAAATAAAACTATATGGTTACCTTCTGACACAGCAATGGTTCCTCCAGAACTACTAGTTAGTAATGGAGTATCATTATGTCAGACTGTACAAGAACCAGGGCAATTTATAATTGTATTCCCTAAAGCATTTACATCAAGTATATGTACTGGCTATGTAGTATCTGAAAGCGTTTACTTTGCACAATTGTCTTGGTTAGAAACTGCTGAACAAGTGTTTAAGGTAAGTAAACAAAATTATTGTTTTTTTAACAAGTCTTTTAATAATAGTTACATAAGGCTTTACAACTAAATAGTGTAACGAAATAATATTTTCAAATAATTCTTTTAGGATATACAAGATAGCTGCGAACCTTCTATATTTTCATTCGAAAGGTTGTTATTTAATATTATTAATGATTCTAGATCCCACATTGATGTAATGAAACAGGTAAATGTTGATACTAATATGTTATCTTATATTGTTGGAATTTTAATATTTTGAGTTAGAAGACATTACTTTTTTAGATACTACCAAGTGTAATTAAAATTCGGGAGAAGGAAATAACTTATCGACAACAATTAGAAGCAGTGGGTCTTATGAATACAGAAAGGTTACCCTTACCTGATAGTGGAAAACGGAAGAAAGGGAAAAAAGTAAAAGAAGATGATGGCGATTTCGAATGTGAAACTTGTAGAGCTAATCTATTTGTTTCATTGGTCAGTAACTCACAAGATGATAGCGTTTACTGTCTACCACACGCATTGCAATTATTTAATAGAAAGAAACAAGCTTTAAAATATTGTACTTTAATGTATACATATAACGAGGTAATGGAGATTTTGTACATGCATCCATTTAACAGTATTCTTCAAATTTAATACAATTTTTTCTGTATTTTGTGCATAGGATGAATTGGACGATTTAATTCATAAATTAGAAGAACGAATCGAAGCCAAATCTAAAAAGACTAATCAAACCAAACAAGCTAAATAACGAGTTTGCGGATCTATTTATTAAATTACCTAGGTAACAATTATTTATTAATCTATATAAAAATAATTATCAAAATTTTGTTAAATATATATATGTCGTATTTATTATTTTTATTATAGTAATACAAGTGTATATAAAAATAAGTTTGTTTCATTTGAAGTGAATCAATTTGGGACGTATTTAAAAGCAGAATGACTTCGTATATTTTTTAATAAAACCTTTAATTTTTGTATGAACACAATTACTATCATTATATTCTGTTTCTATTAATGAGATTTAACGTATACTCCTTTCAGCTTTATTCTTATATATTAACAAGTGAAGAATGTTTGAATTTCTTTTAACTGTTTGAACAAAGTTCAGAAAGGCAGAATTATTTCTAATATTTCTTGTACCAAGCAAATTCTGCAGCATTTGTTATTTAAAATAAGTAGGTAATAAAATAATATCACATTCATATATACAAGATTTATTATGAATACGTAGAAATTATAGAACAAAGAATTATAACATCTTCAATATGAGAACATATAAATTAAATAAATTTTTGACAAAGTAATATAATTCATATAATTATATAAATCAGCCCACAG